TCATAATTTTCTTTATTTTTTGTTTCTTTCTTCAGTTATATTTTCTTTCTTTGCGTGTTTAATGATGTGGGTGTGCAAAATGAAACGTGAATCTTTCACTACATAATATTACATTTTATTCAACTCCTGACGTTGTCACTTACTCCTGAACTGTCTGTGAAGCAACCTCTGCAATCTGTGAGAGACTGCCCCCCCTACCCTTCTGGACAGCTGTTTATATAACAGCGTATATTACAAATCTTTCCCATGCTGACAAAACCCAGATACATGTGTGAGGTTATGTGCTTCTCCATTCATCAGAGGTGTTCCCAGGTCAAACCCTGATGAAACTGACTTCTGCAATATCCATTCTGGTATCATATTACACATTTATTTTTTTAACCATTTGATCCCAAGCAAGGCAATAATGCCACTAAGATGCAAGGGATTACTGAGTGTGAATGAATTAAAAATCATTATTAAGGAGAAAAGAGAAAGATTCAAGGAAACAGAAGATGACAATTGATATTACACTTATATTTTTGAAGATCAAAGCTGACTGGAAAGCCAGAAGAGAGTTCCACAAGAGAGAAGTGCAAGAGTAGAAACTGTTAGAATAGAACAGGCATAAGGTAATTTTTTTATTAAAGATACTGCAGCCATTTTCCCAACAGCAGGATCGGTCTGAGAAATGGGAAAAAATGAATGTATAATTAAAAAAATTGATGTCTTAGTGTAATATTTTCACTAATGACAGACAGAGTGATTAATACACATTGCTGCATACTATTTGTTTCTAATTTATTCATTTGAGTATACAAAAATATTTGTAAAAGAAGAATAATTATCATTTAAGTTTATTGTTTTTGAAGCAAAAGATGTTTACACATATGATCTTCCTTAGTGAAAATTGTCAATGGCTTAAAATATTGACAATGTTACCTTCAACAAAATGTTACAAAATTCAAGAAGCATTGTACTTAATCATTGTTTATGTATGTGGTTATGCATGGGAATGTGTGAGTGAACAAGTGAGAACAAAAAGAAACAAACAGCATTTTAATAAACATTATTTTCATCATGAAATTATGTGTGCCATTCAGAAAGCCAATTGGGCTGCATGCTTGCCCATGACTGGCATAGAACTAACAGTTATATCTAGCCATTTTACTTGTAAAATGATGAGACCTATCTGGTAATCTATTTCTGTGCTTAAATTTGTAAATTCAAGGTATCAAAGAGGGAAGCTCATCAGAACAATTACCATGAAAATATTTATAGAAAAGGAACAGAGAAAGTACATTACAGTGGGAAAGTGATGGAAGCTGAGATGCTATGTCAGGACTGATAACATTGTAGATTCTTTTTGGGGTTTTGTCAAGAATTTCTAGATACATACAGAAGAACTAAACCAGATGCAGTACAAATGACAAATGATTGACTTATAAAGGTGTAAAGAATTGTTTAGCATGACACAGTGAACAAACTTTCCTAGCAGTAGACATAGCAATTGATTCAATATAATCATTCGACTTCATATTAGTGGAAAATGTTAGTCCAAGAAATCACTCTTCTGTAGGTTAGCATCAACCATGCTGAAGGAAAGTAAAAGAGGTTCTAAGATAATTAAAAGAGAACAGTTTCACTTTGGTGACATTAAAATTAACAAGTCATTTCTTGCCCCAGTTAACAAATTGTAGGTCATTTTTAAAGTCAGCTGCCAATCTGACCTTTTGAGACTTACCATTAAGACAAGAGTAAATAGTTGTGTCATCAGCATATGTTGACATTGGGAAGGTTGTTGATGAAAATTAGGAATAAACTTGGTCCAAAGTTAGAAACCTGGAGAGCATTTTATGAAAATTAATACATTAATGTTATTTGCCAAGATGAAACTTATATAAATAATAGATCATTAAAGAATGTGCCATCCTAAACAAAGATACTCATGAATTAATACCTCATGATGACTAAAAAAAAAAAAAAAAACTTTAACTTTTTAAGAAAAAGCAATAGATAAATGCCAAGTGATTGAAGTCTGCATAAACCAAGAAACATCAATTTTGGCAGTAATGTATAAGGGAGGACTGAAAAGCAAAAAAAAATGGGAAAATTGAAAAATTTAGCATTCCAATATCAGAACATTAGCCCTAAGTGTTACATTTAGTGTGGTAAATGTTGAAAAAAGCATTCAAAAATAAACAATGCCCAGGTTACAGTAAAACATAGAAAATGCCAGACGCAACAATTTTACTAGCAAGTGCAAATCTAAACTACGATGTTATACTCTGCTTAAAATTTGCTCACTTTTTGATTCACTCTACATGCCTGCTGGATATGAACACTGAGAAAGCAAAACCAAAAAAATATATATATATTGTCATCTGCACATCACACTAGCTCACAAAACAAATTCCCTCAAAAAATATAAAATACCATATAAAAGGAGCCAATCACAAATGGTCATTGAAAGAAAAACAAAAAAAAAAAGGGTTTATGAGCCAAATACATTTGCTTTAAGAATGCCACTGAATGTTTGAAAAAGATCTCATCAAATGAACAGGTTCATTCAATAAATATTTACACCAGCAAATATGTAGGGTCACCATCACTGACCTCAGTCAATTCAGAAATTTTGTACATGTATCAATTCCATGCCCTACCAACTCTACCATTCCTCCAAGTCACTTCCCTTGCCCAAAAGGAGACATTCCACTCACATTCTCTGTATCAACAATTCAAAGAATTTTATATTAACAATACTTGTTTTCTGTTCCTTTCATTTTATCAACGGTACTTGTTTCATTTTTTTTCTCTTGTGATACCATATATATATAACAAGGTTTCAGAAATAAGCACTAAGGAAAGCGATGACTCATCATGCCAACACCTATTTTTAAATGACTTTATGCTAGAAACAAACACAGTGAGGTCTGACTGGATAGTGATAGTAGTAAATGACACTATCAACATTAATTTCAAGCTGGGTACTACAGTGCAAGGCAACATAATACCCAGAAATGTACTGCATGCTTTTTACACTGGTCCACTACAGACAACCAAAATCTGACTGAAGAATTACAGTCAACACATCATCCAACCCAAACATCAAGTAAAACTGAAATCTCTGTCAACAAAATACCTTATAATTCCAGTTATTAACCTGAAAGTTTCACCAATCCTGGGGAAATTTGGTTCATTGCATCATGCCATACAATTTTTCTCTCCAGAATTCATTTTGCACATTTATAAATCTACTATTCATCCATGCATTGATTATTGCTACCATATCTGGTTTGGTGCTCCTACTATATATCTCAAGATTCTTGACAAAATTCAAAGAAGGGTCTATAAGTTATTGGTCCTGACATGGCATTGTGTTTTCAGTCACTTTCCTACTACTATAATGTGACTTTTCTATAAATATTTTCATGTCAATTGTTTTAATGAATTCTCCTCTTTGGTACTTCAATCATATGAATTTAATCATACCACTAGATTGGCAATTAGGTTTTACCATTTCACTGTAAAAATAGATGTAACTGTAAATTCTACTTGAATAGTTCCTTTTCTTACATTTCTTGTCTATGGAACTCACTTCTGGTTTCTTGCTTCCCTGCTATCTATAATTTTCAAAAATTTAAATGCAATTTCATTTGCTATCTTCTGTCTTCTTGAATTCTGTTCTTTTATTGTCCTTTCTCCTCATTAAATTCTTCTCCTTTGCATTTACTCTCAGAAACCTATTGCATCTTAGTGGTATTATCACATACAGAAAATCAATCTATAGTTCAGAAAATAGATGCTGAACATCAAAACAGAAGAAATATTACAACTGACATACAGGAAAAGAACTCACATCACTGAAGTCAGGTGATTGTGTACAAGTACAATTAGATGACAAAAGTTGGGCACCAGAACATGTAACTGATAAATGTAACAAACTAACATCATACATTGTCACAACTACATCAGGACAAATATGGAAATAGATGACACATATGTCTATCAAAAGAGAGTAACAACCACACATCAAGTATGAAGAACCAATTATGTCAGACAATGTTGAGCAGACCCCATCAATCATGCCACACTCAGAAGCTGGCTTATTTGTAACAAGAAGTGGTCATGTTATAAACAAACCCATCAGATACAGACCAGAAATTTAGTGATGACCAAAATAATACCAATTCTGGATGAAAGAGGGTAGTCTACACTTGTGATTATTCATATGTCATATCTTAGGGACATATTCTATATAAATGTTTTTTATCTATCAATATTGAACATTATAATTCTCATAACTTGAGATGGGAGATGCGATGTATTAATAAACACAGATTTAATTCCATTGTAACTATTTAAAGAGACCAATCACATTTCAATAGGTACCTTCACTTTTTCACTAAAAAACAGCATAGCATGATGGAAAAAAGGCCCAAAACTTGATATAAACAAAGTTGTATTGCCAAAATGTTTATGTTATTATTAAGAGAAAAGACCAAAGTATTTTTTAAAATTTTTTCTCCTTTCTGACATGTTCAAAATTTGGGTTAAAAGTCTTGTTTTTTATGTGTCACTGGTGTAAAATAACACATTAATTTGGAAGGTCTTGCAAAAATCAAATAATTGTTGGATTTTAATGAAACTTTCAGGACTTATTCATAAAAGAATTAATTTATTTTTGAAATTATTATTTTTTTAGAAAATCTTGATAAAAATTTATTTTACATTTGTTAATCCCCACTTAATTTCCCAAAATTTTCTAGAATTGAAAAATGTCAGCAAAATGTTTTTTATGAGTTAAAAGCAGGACTCCTTAGAGAATGTAAATCATTAATTTTTTTTTCAAACTCTTACCAAATTTCCTAAAACCTGCTCCAAATCACAAAATAAAAACTGCAATAAAACTATCTAATTATTTAATTAGATAAGCTTTTAATTGCTTTTATAAATAATATATAGTCTGAAGAAAACATTTTTTTAAATTAAAAAAATTTTAAATAATGAAATTGTTTGTT